GGGAAAGGAGCAACTATTTCCCATGTAGAGAAACGCTCTATAAATGAGGTGAAGTTAAACAGAAATGTTTGGGGCTTCTCTCCAAATCCCTCAGCACCTAAACAATCACTACAAACCTCTTCCTCATCAAATCCTAATGGGAGATAGAAACAATCCAATTTCATTAAAGGAAGCCTCAGAGGAATCTAAAGGGCAAAGTTACTCAATTAGCATTACATAACTCCCTGCCTCCTCCTGGTTTAGGTACCCAAGCTCTCAAGTCTATCAAATACTCCCAACAATTACTGTCCTTCATTTGAAGGATTTTTTAAACCACAGGGAACAGGTAACTCCCTATTGTATCAATCTGCTTCATTACTTGCCCTTTTCCTTATGGTTCCTCTAGAACTGATGTCGATGTTCTCATACGTAGCACTCATGCTGAAATCAGAACCTGATTTAGAGAAGTAGCACAATGTGTTGTGGTGGAAGGAATATGGACTTCGGAATCAGACAGACATGTGTCCATACTTTAGTTCTAACACTTACTGCCTTATGACCTAGGTAAACTTCCTGAGCCTCTATATTCTCCTCAGTAAAAGAGGTGAATACCCTTTCTCAATGGGCAACAATTGATATTTAATGACATAATACATGTGAATTACTCAACACATAGGAGGGGCTCCATAAATGATAATCCCCTTCCTCTTAACTTTCTAATTAGAAGGCATTTTCTGAGGGCAAGGTACCTCTTCATTAGCCCTTATCTCCAGCTAATTTCATCAGACATTTTCACTGTGCTTTGTGTAACATCAAAGTCCCTTCCTACTAGTGGGAACACTATCTCTTGTCTGCCACCACTAGTGCATCCAAGAGGCAGCTATTACTGGGTTTTAAGAAAGAATCAGAAGTAGTTGGACTGAACACTCATGTCCATTAGCTGCATTATTCACAACAGCTAAATGTGGAAACAACCTAAGTGTCCATCAATGGATCAATGGATAAGCAAAATGTGGTATATACATACAAGCCTTAAAAAGGAAATTCTGACATATGCTACAATATGGATGAACCTTGAGAACATTATGCACAAAAAGGCAAATACTGTGTGATTCCACTTATATGAGGTAATTACAGTAGTCAAAATCACAGAGACAGAAAGCAAACTAGTAGTTGCCAGAGGCTGGGAAGAATGGTGGTTTAATGGGTATAGAGTTTCAGTTTTTGGAGATGAATGGTGGTGATGATCGCAAAACACTATGAATGTATTTAATACCACTGAACTGTACACCAAAAAATGGTTACGATGGTAAATTTTATATTACGTGTATTTTATCACAATTTTTAAAAATTGGGAAAGAAGTTTTTTTAGACTAATGGCTGACTAAACTTGACTAAATCTAGCATCAACACGAGAGTTAATCACATAATTGCAACTCTGGGGCATCAAGTTCTTGCTATGGTTCCAAATAAAATGCTATCTGAAAAGTTCTTATTGTCAAATCCTTCTACCTCCTGTTACATGACACAAACGAGCATCTTGTGCAGTTCCACCACCTCAGTCTAATAAAGATAACAAGAATTCCGGCTGAATTTCTCTCACGTCACCAATAATGGCACCAATAGCCGGACGGCAGAGGGATTTACAGAACTATTCCAGGCCCACACTTTGATTTGAACATGTGCTTAGTAGTACTTGAATGAAAATGAACTTCATTTCCCACAGAAACTCCCCAGATAAAACAAAAAACTTTTTGAAGGTTATAGTAAAAGGATACTCTAAAAACTGTATCCTATAAGGCTGATCCTATAAGGCTGGTCAACATTACAGAAAACCAAAGTCTGGAATAAACGGGGAAACTGAAAATAAAAATTTACAAATCTTCCTCACACCAGAAAACACTTTGTTATACTTTTTTTGTACTTAAAATACTGAGCCACCTCAAAATAATTTCCAGTCCAATACCTAAAATCAACTAGTCTGTAAGCATTGTGAGATGAACACTATAAAATGTAGTACAAATATGACTCTTTCAAAACCATTTAGCAGTAATAAAACTCACAAATAAATCAGCTAACCTAAAAAGTTTAATGTGTTCTTTTTCATTTCTGATGGCTTCCTCATCAAAATATGCAGGGGAACCCAAGTATACATGCCATGGGCAAATACATGCAATAAAGACAGGAAAAAGTGAGAGAGTCTCAACTCTGATGGCAAAAGTGAAAGAATCATTCAACTGCAGAAGGACCAATGTAAATTTGATTAATATAATCAAGGATCTGAATCAATGAAGTTCAAAATTTTATGCAGAGTCACCTTCTAGGCAATGAAAGTCCTAAAGACAATCAATTCGTCAACTAATACTTCCTAGGCATCAAATATGCCTCAACATATTGGAATGGGGATGTGGAAATCAGTTTCTGCGCCACAGTGGTACTTCTGGTCTAACTAAAGAATAAAGCACAAAATCACAACATGTAAGCAGACTGAAGCAGTAAAGGCACCCACCCAGAAGTTGAAAGACCAGAGCTCTAGTCCCAACTCTGCCCCAACTCACTAAGATGTCTGTCCTTGGGTTAATCACTGAAACTTCTACAGGACTCTATTTTCTCACCTAGAATAAGACAGGATAATTTCTAAGGCCTCTCCCACTCTGGATCTATTAATTCAAGTTGAAAGACAAGGGAGAGGAACTGGGCCTTAAAGAATTGGTAGGATTTGAATTGACTGATGGGAGAAGAAGGATATTACAGAGAAGGAGTATGAAAGTACAAATGGACGGACACACCTTGTATGATTTCACTTATATGAGATATCTAGAGTAGTCAAAATCATGAAAATAAAAAGTAGAAGGGTGGTTGCCAGGAGTTGGTGGGAAGGAGAAATAGGCAGTTGTACAGAATTTGGTTTTGCAAGATGAAAAAGTCCTAGCGATGTTACACAACAATGTAAATATAGTTAACTGCACACTTTAAAAATGGTTAAGAGGGTAAATTTTATACCATGTATTTTTTTAACCACAATTTTAAAAAGAGTCACAGAAATTAGTCTCCTAGCAGTCATACTAATGCAAAAATATTTCAACTCAACTGACTTCTAATGTCCAATTCTAATCCCTAAAATTCCTTTTTTCCCAATTAAAAAAAAAGTAGATGTGCCTTGCTAATGGTACATGGAGTCTCCCTCAACGGCAATAAAGCTGAAGGAGCATGTTGAGAAAACGAAGAAAGAGAAGACAATGCAAACACTAAGCAAGAGTAGAGGATACAAAGCAGGCTAGTCAAACACAATCTAACTGTGTCATCCCCACCCACAATCTAGCCTAAGTCTCTAAGTAAAACTGTACAGAGGTTTCTCTTTACTCCAAAGATAAACTCTTCAACCTGCTTACAAGGCCCAGCACCCTCTGGCCCACCTCTCCAACCCCCTCTCTCACTAGATTCTTCTACACTCTTCCTGAGAGATACACAGATCTGTATCTTAAGTCCCCAGTCCTCTCCATGAACCCTGCCATCACATGGTCTTTTTGCCCTTGCTGTTTTTTCTGACTGGATCATTCTTCCCTTCCTGTGCATCCTTCAGATCTCAGTTCAAATGTCACTTCTGTGACTTCCCTAACTCAAATACTTGTCACAGTTGCAGTTTTACATTGTGATTAATCTGATTGCATCTGCTGAGGACTGGGTCATGCATGCATTCACTCTCCCCAATTTCCAGTGCTAAACACAGTGCCTAGTACCAAGTAAGCACTCAAATACTTGTTGAATAAGTGAATAAATGGGCACCAAACCTGTAAGAAAGCAATAAAATATCACAGAATGTCTGCTTAAGAGTTTGTGCATCTTCAGAAATGAGTCTTTGGAGGATGCCCAAAGCAATTGAGCCTAAAATCCCTATTCAATTCTTACCAAAAAAATCAATTCAGATGCCTGTATAAATTTCTCTGGCTCTTCTATGTCTCTAAGCAATTGCTGAGCACTGTAAGTACTTAATAAATACTTATTGAGCTGAAATGAAATTACACTGTTTTGAATAATGGATTTTGATATATAAACTCCTGCATTTTAGTCCCATATAATGTCATTTTCGAAAACTGTTCATATGTCTCAGTTTTAGCTCCACTGTCATTGGATTAATTTTAATGTAGTTATCCAACAATGTTCAAATAAGGCTTAGAGTTTCCTTAGTCCCACTTCTTCAAACTCAGTTAAGGGAGGTTTTCAGTCTCTTGTATTTTCATATAAATTTTACTTTGTCAATTTCTGGGGGAAAAAAAGCCTGCTGGGATTTTAACAGAATTGTGTTGAACCTGTTTTCAAATGTAAATCAAAGATATTAACAACACCTGCCCCTACTTCTGCAACGTAGCAAATTTCACTTGAAATTCTTCCCAAACCTACTCAGTCCCAAGGAGAACTCCTTCTGTAGACACAAAATCCAACTTACAAAATACTAAACGCACTAAAAACTGGAAAGCTAATTCCCAGTTAAAGGATCAGTTCAAAACGCTGGATTAAATGAACCTCCACGATCAACGAAGCAGATAAAGTATACCAGTTTGTAAAGCGCCAAGCGGCAGGCAAACACCAAGTATTACAATAAAGTGGCTGCTGTTCAAGGATCCTAAGGAGCCCCATCCCTGTCAATCCCAAACATCTGTATCCGGACCCATAAGAACGCGTCCACAGGTGACCCGAACCTCGGGAAGCGTTCTCTCTACAGCAATAGGCCCTGTTTAACTCTGCTTCTCCTCCCAGGACCCCATACTAGGCTACAAGGGAGGGCCGGCGGGGCTCGGGGGCGAGGAGACGGGCCTGGGAGACCGGGTGGGCTAGGAACGTGGGGTGGGCAGGGGCGACGCCAGGGCCGGGGAGCGATTCCAGAGGCAGAGGGCACTCGCCCGGGGCCGCCGGCGCAGGTGCCCCCCGAAGCGATACGGAGGCCTCGAAGGCCAGGCCCGGGGTCGCTCCTGGGGAGGCATCGAGGTGGGGCGCGCGAGGAGGGGACGGGGAGGCCTCACCTTGTCTCCCAGGAGGCAAGCGCCGCCGCGGTCCCGCAGTTGCTAAGGAGAATGCTCTTCCGGGTCACGGGCGCTGAGTTATGGAGGCAACGGTGGCTGGGAGGGGCCAAAAGTGAGGCGCGGGGTGAGTGCGCGGCGGAGGCGGTGGTCTGTTGTAGTTGCGCTGCGGCGGCCAGAGCAGGGCAGGGCTAGGCGGAGGGCAATGCCGACTTCTATGGCCTGGCCTCGCGGAGACGACTGGCTGTAGCCGATGGCTGTTGCTGCCCGGCCCCCTGCTGAGGGGCCAGCCGCTGGCGGGAGCCCTCCCGCCCCTGCTCCTGAATGCCCCCAGCCCCAATCCTCAGTGCTGTGACCCGCCGGGCCGCCTCTCACCCAGCCGGCGACGCCTGCCCCCAACGTCTAGCTTATGGGTGTAGCCACGCCGGTCCTCTCCTGTGACAAGGTTTTACTCATCCTTTGATTTACTCCACACCCGGTTAGTGAGCACCTGCTCAGGGCTAGGTGCAGGGCTGGCCCCGGGATACTGAAGGGGGCAACCCAGGCATGGTCCTGCCCTCCGAACGGATAGGCAGGTGGGAGGGCAGTCAGGCAGTATCCTGCATATAGTACTGGGATGCGCAAGTGAAGGAAGCTAGGGGAGCTTGCCCTGGGGGCCTACCCAGGCTCAGGTGGGGAAAAGCTGATGGTGGAGACCTCAACCAAGTTAAAAGTGTAGGGAAGAGTGTTCCAGGGAAGACTGTAGGCTCGACTGAGAAACCCACTGAAAGGTCTGTACGCCCTGCCCAGGGAAGTGTGTAGAGAGGAGAGAATGGTTAAGGATGGAACCTAGAAAACATCAATATGGTAGCTGTGAACTAAGGAGGAGGAACCCCCAAAGAGCAGGCAGAACGTTTGTTTGAAAGGCTGCTGAGGAGACAGCAGAAGAATTTCAGTAAGGAGGTGATCACCAGTGTAAAATGCCATGGGGATCCAGAGCCCAGTGGTGACCATAGAAAAATCAAAATTCAGGACTAGGTTGTCAAAGTTGTCAGTGGCTTGAATCTGTATAGTGAAGGAGCCTACCACCATATTTTCCTTGTTGAAACAAGGGAAAGAGATACACTAAATTGTTCCTGAATGCCTTAATGTTTTCAAGAGCACTGTCACAGTACTTGCAAATTTCAGGATTTCTCTACTCATAACCAATCTCCTTGAAGGTGGAAAATATTTGTTATTTAACCTTGCATCTACAGTGCCTGCCACATACAAAGGCCTCAGTCAATGTTTGCCTAAAGAATAAAAGAACCCATGGGCCTCTGGTTTTTAACGTTCACACAGGTCCCTTCCAAACCCCTCAGCAAAACTGTGATGTAGGCAAAACTTGTCTATTCAAACTGTAGAGAGTGGAAGAAGCTCAGCAAGGACAGGAAGCAGAGGGCGGTAGAGGTCCAGGGATTCAATGGATGGGAGAGAGCCCAACAGAGCCAGAGATGGGAAGATCCAGAAGAAGAAAAAGACAAAGGATTGAAAACAGTAGCTGGGCTTTCAGGGCCAGAAATGGGAGATGAAGCCAAAAATAGTTAGAAGCAGGAATAGAAGAGGAAGGACAATTTTTGTACATAAATTGAACAGAGAGATCCCCCTGAGATTGGACTGCTGGCAGAAAGTGCAGTGTCAGCCAGTGTGAACACTGCAGGGCTAGATGGACATATCCCCATGTCCTCGAAGTGAAGTGGGCCCTACACTTCCTCATATGGGCCAAAGGATAACCGCGGCACATGCTGGAGCGAGTTAGGATGAGAGGCTTGCCCCACAAGCATATCTCCATAATTCCAGTCCATTTCCATTATCACAAGTATTACAATAAGCTCCCCCCAAAAGAGAAATATTATTCTTTTCTGAGAGCCTAATAAATCCATCCACAATGGATGTGACCATACATCCATGGAAGGAAACCATGAAATTCAGAATGTGTGGCTGAAGAGTTTAGAACACCCGGCATATCAGCCAAAGGGGCCTAGGAGTAACATCAACAAGGCAGGACCAGAAAATGGTTACAATTTGGTAAAGGAAAGTTAACTGTTTTGTGAACAGAAGGGACAAAATTAACTTGTAACCTAGAAAAAGGAAGCCCCAAATACATGAAGTATAACAGATAAAGTCTACCCCACGTTCTCCTGGCAGCCTTGAATATAGCAAATATTCTAAAGAACTGTGTTCTGTTGAAGGGCCAAGGTGATTCATTAGGCTCACCTTGGCTAGGCTTCTGGGACATTTCAATGGTGCCTCAAGAAATAGAAATTTATCATTGCTATGAAGGGGATATTCTTAGAGAACTGCAGGGAATTGTGGGTGAACTCTGTACTTCAAGGGTGCTATGGGCATGGAAGTTTCCAGGTGATGTGCCTTCTCTGACTGGTCTCTGGATGACGGATGCCAATTAATGACTGAGGAATGCCCCCAAAACCCAAGATATGAGTGGAGGACCGGAGTTACCATGCCCTGTTCTTATATGAATTGAGCCACCTGCTGCCTCCAGGAGAATTCCATTTTGGCATTAGGAGGAACTGTGTCTGAAATCTAAGTTTTGGTTGCCCCAGAGCTTTCCGTACCAACGCTGATTCCTAACCACCACCATCTCCAACTTGAGCTTCCTGGGTACTAACATCCACCCAGTCACAAAGCCAGACACCCAGGAGTCACCCTTGACTCCACTGTCCCCCATCACCACACTCTCACCCTAAACAGACCAGTTCAAGAACAAGTCCTGTAGACTGTGTCATTCCCCCCACCCAATTCCACTGCCACCAGTTACGGTGAAAAGAGCAAATAACCAAGCAACTCAGGTTCAGTAAGAAGTATTACAACCTCAAAGGTGAAGCAAGGTGATAAAGGCAGTGTGTGTGTGTGAACAGTGTAATGACCAAACAGCACAAAAACTTCAAGGAGATAAGATGAAATAAATTCATTCAACAACATGTTTTGATTGCCTTTCACATGCTAATTTTGCCTTAAAGGAAGTAAAACATAATGAAAGGACTATTAAATAGGTTAAAGAAAAACCTAAGGTAGAATTGAACAAATTCCAACAACCCAAGTGAAAGAGTGCTTGCTGGCCTGGGGGTGTGACTTTGGAAGGCCCTAAATCAGATGTGGGGCGCATTATAAAGCCCATACCTGTGCAGACAGAGTACTGTGGGCTGAGAGGGCTGTGGGTGAGCAGAAAATATGTCTCATCAACACCATATCGATTGTTCTTGGCCTCCTCAACTGCAGCAACTAGACCCACCCAGACCACTCTTTCCAACTAGGAATCTTAAACTTAATTTTAAAGATCACATTTCTCTCTTCCTTCTATCTTCATAGTATTATTTTTATCCCAACTTTTAAAAAACAAATCCTTCTAGAATATTCCCACTTTTTTGCCTCATAGGTGTTAGCCTTTACCTTAATTTCTCTTTTACCTACTAGCTCTTATTTAAATTTTCATCTTTTTAAATATTTTTAATCTTTATTGTATCAGGATTCCATCAGCATATTAGTCTTAACTGTTTTCGGTTTAATTTAAAATGTTTTTCTAGTTCTTTGCCCTTTTGTTTCTTTTTTATTTCACATATGCTACTTTAAATGTGAATTTTAGAAAATTCTCTCATTTACAATGCTATTTTTTCTAAATTTTTATTTCCACATCCTTAGCTTTAAATTTGTCTTAATTTTTATACTCTCTTATCATCTTATTTTAATTTTTATTTCTCTGATCTTCCATCTTGCATATTTTTCTGGTTTTTAACTTGAAGTATACATATAGCTCAGCAACTGCAAATGTTATCTAACGATTATTACACTTTAAATGAGAAAATAAAGGATCATATTTAATTCACCAAATCCAGAATGCTTATACTTTGTTTTGTTGGAGAATTTACTCCAGAGGGAGGTCTTTATAGGACAGAATTTTACTTTTCTTCTGTGCCTTGTCTCCTGCCAGATACCAGCCTCATATGAAGCTAGAATAACAGAAAAGGCGCTCTCAAATGGCAACTCCAGTACAGCAGCAATGTGGCGTAGCACTTAAGACGTGGGGAACCAAACTGCTGGGTTCAAATCCAACTCCTCCGGTTACCCACAGTGTGACCTTGGGCAAGTTACTCAACCTCTCTGGGTCTCCATTTTCCTCACCTATAGAATGTGGGTGATTATGATAGCATCTCATAAGGTTTCTGTGAGATTTAAATGAGTCAATATATGTAAAGCACCTAGAACAGTGCCTGGCACATAGTAAATACATGTGTTTGCTAATATTGTTTAACAAGAAGTTATCCTATACAGTAGTCACTCTTAGGAGTATAAAATAACCAAGTATCTTGTAGATGATGGTCCTAACTGACAGAAGCAACTTTTATTCTTCCTCTCAGAGCAGACACTGTAACCTACCAAAGTTCTGTTTGGCACTTTCTCTTCTTAACCAAACCTCAATATTTGTTTTCAGATATCAATACCCCTCCAAGGACTCATGTATGGGGTGGGGGTGGGGAATAATTTCAGTGAAGAGTCTGTTTCTCCTTTTCCAACACCCAACCCTGATTGAGTCTCTGCATTCTAGAGTTCTAGAGAGAAAACATCTGATTGATTGGCTCAGGCCAGCCTATGAATTGGGTTAGGGGTCTGCTGGAGCCAATCAGCTAAGCAAGGGAAACAGAATCACCCAGTAGAATTATGGCTACTCAGGTATACACCTTCCTTAGGGGCTGTGTGTGTGTGTGTGTGTGCACGCACGTGCACACACACGTGCTCTTATTGGAGGGGAGGGTAGCAAAATTTCAATGAAGGGAGAAATGATAATTTTATGCACTCTATAGCCCATCTCCACAGATATGCATACCCTAGCCTGAAAAACAATGATATAAAGTATAGTTGCCATTAAATGTGATAACTGTATTTTTAAATATTTAACTTTTCAGAATGCCAAAATCAGACCAAGAGGATTTGACCTAGGAGGACTTGAAGAAGGTAAGAGAATGACAAAAATAATTCTGAATCTATTTATAAGAAAGAACATTTTTGAATTAGAACAGATATAAAGAAATGTGTGCAGT